CCTGCTGACTATTTAGGGAATTTGGAAGCAATACTGAACACACTATACTCTGCTCCCTCGCCTTCCCTCACCCCCCAAGGGACTTTAATGTAGTTTTCATCTCCCCACCTCCCCAAGATTTTGAGAGGAATAGGACAATATTTTTTGAGCAAGTCTTACCATTTGCTGTTCTGTCTGTTTTTTTATGGATGAGTTAAAATGGCTGATTTGCACAGCCTGCAAGTCTGACTGTTTGTAGAAAGGTAGAATGTAGTGTCTTAATTTCCTGGTCTATGTAAGTGATCCACCCACTTATCTGTTACATTGGTCTGTGTATTTTCACATAGTCCTCAGTCATGTCATTGTTCCCTTGGAACTTTTGGGTGGAATTTATGAAATACAAATACAAAGCCTTTGCATTCTTTTTAAGAGATTGTAATTAAATAATACTGTATAGTTGTGGGGAAAAAAATGTTCTTCTGACAGCGTGCCCTGGAATTTTAATAAGCCTTACGAGGATTTATTGAAAATAGTGTAAACACTCTACCCTTTTCTTGCTGTAGGATGTTGTACCTCAAGCCTTGCTGGATCAGTATTTGTCAATGACTGATCCATCTCGCGCACAAACAGTCGATACCGAGATTGCCAAACACTGTGCCTACAGCCTGCCAGGTGTCGCGCTTACATTAGGCAGGCAGAACTGGCACTGTTTGAAAGATACCTACGAGACGCTGGCATCTGACATGCAGGTAAGCTCAAGGAGCTCTGACAGTGAATGATCTCAACTTTTATAATGTCTTAATGAACAATCTGAACTTCCCTGATTTCTGTTGTTTACTGGGTGTTGGGTTGCTCTGCTTTTTATGTGGAGCTTTCCGTTGCTGATACTAGTTATTAGTATAATGAAAGAAAGTGTCACAGTTGTCTTGGAGGAAGCTGAGTGCTTGTGGTGCTCGGGTACAAGTGATAGACCATAGAAAATGGAATTTTGCGCTGAGTGGAAATGGGGCAGTTTGAGTGGGAGGTGGATCTCCAGTGGGAATGTGAGGAGAGGTCTCCGATTTCCTCTGCTCACTTGAGAACTTAGGCAGTGCTTGGGGTTCTCACAGGTATGAGAATTTGGGCTGTGCCGCTGTGCACGAGCAGAGACGTGCCCCTGCAGGCACGTCTGGAGCTCAGGGAGTCAGCCTCAGACAGGTCTTTTGGGTCTGCGTCCGGTTAGTCAGAAGGGAATAACATCAACCGTGTAGCATTGCTGTTTTAAAAACAAAGGCTGGAAATAGCAGCATTTTCCTTGTTGTCAAGTGGTAAGGAGGTGGCTTTGTGTGTTTTACTGTTGGTTTACAGTTGTTTCCCAGTCCTCTCTTGTTTCCTTTTTTGGAGATGCTCTTTTTATTTTTTTAAACATTCTCAGACTACTTCACCTCTCTTGAACTCTGCTTGCTATGTCAGAGCAGCAGTTCTCAGTGATATGTAGTGAGTAATTTTATACATGGCTATTGCTCATATTTTCCAAACTCTTTTGCAGCCATTAAAAACAACCAGCTAATAAATTTAAAACCGAAGTAAAACCAAATTATCCTGTATTCAAAACTCTCTGGAGTTTATTGCCGGTCTAATCTGATATTAAGATTGAATCACCAAACCACGGCAAAAGGATAGTACCATGCTAATTGGAAAGTGCTGGCTAAAGAATAGATGCTATTTTATTTTTAAAAAGACTTACTGACATAGTTATTCCATTAAACAGTGCCCCCTCAATTTAAGGCGAGGAGAAGCTCTACTGGTCCTTGGATTGCTGGGTACTCTGTGTGGGTGAAACTTTACCTGTTATGGAAGCTAAAATATGCCAGCTGAAATACTATGGGATATATATCTTACTCCGTTTTATAAATTGAGTGAGAGAGTAGTAGTATGGAACTAATTTGCACAAAATAATTTAAAGCAGAGTGTAATGTGCGGAAGAGTACTGATGTCAGGAATACTATTATCCTTCCCAATACCTGGAAAATTAAAATATTTTCATTACTTCTATTTGCCTAGCTCCTTGATATTCAGGTGGAAGAAATGATACCTTGTCATTTGTCATCCCTTTTGTGTGTGTTTTTTTAATTTTCCTTTTTTTAAAAAAAAAAATAAATCTCTAATTTAATTTTCAGTTGTTATGTGAGACACTGTTGAATGTATTTGGAAGTACTGTAGCTCACTGGGACTCCAGTTTGGATACTGACCCTCAAGTTAAAACAGATGATACATCAATAAAATTAACGTATTTATTTATTTTATAGTGGAAGGTCCGGCGGACGCTAGCATTTTCTATACATGAACTTGCCGTCATCCTTGGAGACCAGCTTACAGCTGGAGATTTGGTTCCTGTCTTCAATGGCTTTTTAAAAGATCTAGATGAAGTCAGGATAGGTGTGCTTAAACACTTGCATGACTTTCTGAAGGTATGTTTGTGTTGAACTCTGGTCAAGTGCAATTACATATTTTGCTTCATTTCTTTGTATGCACTTGCTTTTTAACATAACACTGGTATAACTCTTTGTGGGAATCCATACAGATGGCTTTTGAAACTGGAGTATATTTTGCAGGAGATCTGTGTTGCTGATACTTCCTTTTCTTTGAAGAGCCTGGTTTGTGCACATGCTTATTTAATATATAGGTGCTAGTGGGTGGTATTAAGTTTTTTGGTGGTTCTAACCTCTCTATGCAGCTTAATTCTGAGATTTCTTTAGGAGTTTTTCTGTAACTGCCTCATTTTTGGAGCTGAAAGACACAAATCATAAAACCTTTAAAATCAACACTATCTTTACTGCTTACCCCTCTTGTTTCCTAGAGTAAAAGTAAAGAGTAGATGAGATTTTGCTTTCAGTAGTGCCCCATGTGATTTTACAGACCTAAGCATGATAGGGTTTAGCCCAGGAAAGCAACGCTATTGCTAAAGATTTTATTTATTTATTTATTTAATGAAAGCAAGTATTTCTTTGGTTGTATTTTAAAGCTCTTGTTCTAGCTGCTGATGGTAGCCTACATTTTTTTAAGTTTATATTTACTGTTACAGCTTCTTCATCTTGACAAAAGACGAGAGTATCTTTATCAGCTTCAGGAATTCCTGGTGACTGATAACAGCAGAAACTGGCGTTTTCGTGCTGAGCTGGCCGAGTATGTAGTTTTCTGGATGCTTCTTTTCATTGTTGTGGATACTTAAAAATGTTAAAATCATAGAATAGATGTCTTAGTGACATTCTTCATTTTTAATCAGTGGATAGTCCTTATCCTCCTCCGCTTGTCCCCCTTGCTTAAAAATTCCCAGTAGTTGTATATCACTTGTAATAGTTGGAACTTGAATGTCTTTTTCCCTCACCATATGTTGAAAACATTACCCTTCTATAAAAAAGAAACTGCCAAAAGAGAAGACTACATCTGGCTGCTCTTGAAGTCAATAGAAGCGTTCTAGCAATTTGACTTCAAGTTGCTGTATTTGATAGGTAGGCTGAACTCACGACCATGAAATGGAGGAGATCAATATCTTGAGGGGATTAAAGAAAGTAAGTAGCAGAGTAGCGACCAGTATATCGAGGGAACAGATTAGCCCCCTCTAGTCAGTGCTCATTAGATCTCATCTTGACTAATGCATCTATACCAGTACAGGGAAGGTGCTGATAAACTGGAAGAAGTTCAGCAGAGGGCCACCAAGATGGTCAGGGCTGCAGCACTTGCCCTGTGAGGAGAGACTGAGTGACCAGTTTTATGATGAAATGAGCATATAGTAATGACTAATTACAGTGCATCTTTTGAATTAATTTTTGAGAGACCTAGTTTAACAACTGATCATGATGTCATGATGTTTTTGGTACATTTAAGTGTTGTTTTGATTTAGTAACTACAAATCACTTGCCTGTTACTGCTGCTATGGAGACGTTCAATTGGCTGCTTGTAGCATGTCACGCCAGTTTTGGCATACCTTCTACCATTCGTGACGTATACTAGTGCCTGCAACCTGCTGAAACCTTAATCAACTCATTACAAATTGAAGACAACTGATAATTTCTCTAGTTGTCCAGTATACTCTGAAGTAGTTCATTGACTTGCTAGATCATTATAATTAAGAGACCGAGAATACTTATCAAACTTAAGTCAGAGTAGTTGCTTTGTAGCTGTACGTGTGTTGTATGTGCATGATGTCTTTACCAGGTATTAAAATGCACGTGCACACTATGGTGTCATTCACAGCTGGATCGCTGTGCTGCGTGTACATTGTAGCTGTTATCGGGATCCCTGCCTTGTAAATGCAACCTTGGTTCCCTTGCCTCTCCCCTAGTTTTTTGTTCTTTGAGCTTATGCAGCATTTTGCCATTATTGTAAATAAGTGGCAATTTAAAATTTGCAAGGGACCCATAGTCAAACTGATTGCATTGAAAAACAGAAGATTTGACTTTTCAGTAACTTTATTATGGCCACATTGCATATTTAGCAAGTATTGCCATATAAATGATCAGATTCACAATTTAAGCTGCCTTTCTTCTTACTATAATGTACTCTGTTTGGTTGTTCTTCCGTCTTGTAGGCAACTGATCTTGCTTCTAGATCTGTACAGTGCCAGAGACATTTATGACTACTTGCGACCTATCGCTTTCAGCCTCTGTGCAGACAAAGTGTCTTCTGTCCGTTGGATTTCTTACAAGCTGGTAAAGCAATCTAAGTAAATTCAGGATTTCAGATTTCTGAGGGTTGGTCGTCAGAAGTAATTTTTGTTTTGGTTTTTTTCTTCTCATTTCTTCAAGGTTAGTGAAATGGTAAAAAAGCTGTACATGGCTTCAACATCAACCTTCGTGGTAGACCTCATGAATGAACTTGTTGAAAAGTTCTGTAGATGCCGCAAATGGTCTGGTCGGCAAACTTTTGTCTTTATTTGCCAGGTGAAATGTCTTTTTGTTCATCTTTTCGGGTTTTGGGGGGAGGCGCTAGTGGTAAGAATTAAGGGGGAATAGCAACTGGAACTCTTCAGCTGTCTATTGACACTATTTTCATGAATATTTGAGAACTTTGTTTCCGAGGGAATAGGTTTCATGGCTGCTTTCTTCAGTTTTGCACCACAGATGAGCTTGAATGCATCTTTAGCTTAGCATATTAACATCAGGTTGTCAAATCTGATGTTGAATATAAAACAAAAGCATAGCAAAATAATCCCTGAGTTGGGAAGCTACTTTGTTACTTAGCATGAAGTGAGATTTTTATAATATGCTGCAGCAGCCTACCACTATTTTGGGTTACCCTTTAGAAATCAAACACTAGGAGTTGCCTGTACCTCCTTAGTCAGCTAGTGCAGCTTGGTCAAAACCAACATATTCTCAATAAAATAAGCAGAAGAGTTGAAACTAGCTGGGGTCCCAAGGACATGGTCAAATTTGGAGGCTGTAGCAGAGGTGCAGACTGGGAACCAACATGACTGCTGCCCAAGTGGGGCAATTCTTTGATGTATTTGGAGAAATGTGAGCTTTGAGCTTATTTAGAGAAGCATGTTTTTTGGGTGCAAAGGATGTTTATTGAGATGGACCATTCTTGTCCTAATATAGTACCTAGTTAAAACAAAGACTGAACCAGTCCTGAAAAGGATTGGGAAGGTCTTTTACTTTTCTTCCCTGTTTTGAAATTACACAGTGAAGAAAAAAACCCAAACAAATCCAAAACAAAACAAAAATACAAAGGAAGTTGATAGACTTAATACGAAATAAAGTGGGCTTCTAATTGAGCCTGAATTTCCTCAACCCTAACTTGCTTCGTTGTGTACCAATTTGTGCTAGAAAGTATTGTGCCATGTGTTAAAACTACCTACTGTATTCGTGCTATGAAGGTAATAAGATCTGTTAGCTCTGATTTATGTGTCAGGATTTTATCCTGACTGTGCTGAAATCTAATGAAATCGCTTCTGTCTTCTTGCCAGACTATCAGTGAAGATGACTGCCTGCCCATGGACCAGTTTGCTGTGCATCTGTTGCCACACTTATTACACTTGGCATCTGACAGGGTTCCAAATGTTCGAGTCCTGCTTGCAAAAACGTTAAAGCAAACCCTTTTAGAGAAAGGTTAGTGGCAAAAAGAGTTGCAGTGGGCCGACTGCGTATATTTTTGTCCCTCCACTTTCCTATAGTCAGCTGGGAAAAAAGAAACATCGTCAGATGTGGGTTGCTCTTGCTTTTATAGTTTCCTTGGTGTGGGGTGTTACCTTGGCTAAACCATGAACCTTGTGGTATCAGAGCCACCGTTGTGTAACGCTGAGGAAATAAGACTTCTTGCTCATGTGCCAGCCTGTTCTTTTGGTACCGTTTTCCCCAAATGAGCTGGTTTGTAGAGGTGTCGTCAGGGCACAGAAAGCTCAAATGAACAACTAGCAACTGTGAAGTTGTTGAGCAGTGCCCTTTATTTGGTTAAAAAAAAAAAATAATTCTGTTGATGTTCTGAGTAATAAGAATTAAAAATCCTTCCATATAAATCCACCATCTGTTTTCTCACTGGGAGACAAGAGATGGCTGCTGGTTTTGTTTTATATTTTATGGTGGCAGTGGGAAGAAAGTTTCTCTCGAGTCTCTTCAGGGAAATTAGACACACAACTTTCAAATTGCAGACTTTGCTTAGGGAGGCATCCCCAATGCACAGCAGATACCAGAAGAGTCAGCAGTGCTCAGAGCCCAAAGCACTAGAGAGAGAAATAGCATTAGAAATGTGCTATTTTGTAAACCAGCAGAGTGTCCGCACTTGAAATACCTCATCCAGTTCTGATCCTTTGCTTTCTTGAAACCATACACTGGCTTGAGGACTACTGTTTCTAGCATAGAAAGTGTGAAGAAAAATGCAAAATGTTGAAAACACTGGCAACACGAAGGATGCCAACACAGCGAGAACAAAGCTATTGCTAGCTGTCTTGTGCATGCTGGAGGCTTGAGTAAGCGTATGTAGACAGTTAAGATGGATCAGCTGATGTGCAGTAATTTATCCTCTGTTAACTGTACCAACGCTGTCACCATTTTTCCTGTTATGTAGTATTGGTATTTTTGTTGTTGTCCTTGTTATTTTTGTGTTCCCCCCCTGGATGGTACACCTCCATTCTGCATTGCTGCTATGTAAGCTTATAATACAGGTAGTCCCTGCCTCAAAGATGTTGTGTGTATGATTAGGGATGGTGTATAGATTATGAAAAGGAGATTTAAAAAATAAGTTCAGAAGTTTTTTAACCTCGGATCTAAACTGCCCTTCCTACGACCTGTTTGTAGTTACACTGCTTTTATATAACTTGTGTAGTTCACGAAAACTGTCAGATGTTGGAACTTCCTCCATTCTTCATGTTATCTTAGTTTTATTGTTTGATAATCATTTGGCAAGCTTGCCAGTGAAATGGAGTGGCATCGGCCATAGGTTTGTAATACCTTCCCTCCATCACAAATATAAGCACGCTCCTTGTGAGGCTTTTTGCAGGTTTTTTCTTCCTCTTTGGTCGCTGAGTCTGTCATGCTTACTTTTATACTGAAGGGCCGTAGAAATCCTGTACTCTTAACAGCACTGTTAGAGCAAGCGTGCTCTGAAACATGGGATGATTTTTTTTTTTTAAGGTGAATTCATAGGTATATTCAGAAGTGTATTGTGTGTCTGCTCAGATATTCCTCCTATAAGTCTTGTGCATTTTCTCTTACAGAGTATTTTCTAAATTCTGCCAACTCTCATCAAGAAGCTGTGGAACAAACAATTATGGCGCTTCAAATGGATGATGACAGTGATGTCAAATATTTTGCAAGCATACACCCTGCCAGTACCAAAATTGCAGATGATGCTATGAGCACTGCTTCATCAACTTATTAAAAAGTTCTGAATGTTGCTATAATTAAAAAAATGTAAACAAACTATCCTCAAATGCTTCTGAAATGGTTTATCTAGGACAACCTCTTTGGAAGGAGAGATTTCTTGCCAGATGTAACAGGTGGATGTGATCTAAACCTGATACCAGGGTTTTTAAGTCAAGAAAAAGTAAACATACCTGTGTCAGCTTGACTTTAGAAAAACACTGCTCAGAGGATTATTTTTGCCACCGAAGCCTTAAATCTTCTGTCTTCCTGAACAAGTGAAACTTGAATTGGCAGATCATTTTCATTGTAGAAAGGATGTGAGTTCCAGAGACCTGCATTGTTTCTCCTGAGGAGTTAACTTAAAGTATTTTCTGTAGCAACTGATAGGTGAAATGGCCAGAAAGGCAAATTTATACCAGGATGTAAGACCTCCAGTATTAGCGGTAAAAGTTTTTTATCATTCAAGGACTTTATTTGTGTGCAGCTGGGCACACCCTTAAGTGGGAATAGCTTTGATGTTTGTAAATGGGGAAAAGTAGAAATTTGGATTTCTCTTAAGGGCTCAGTGCTAACACTAAACTAGAATTTGATTTTAATCCTTAAATGCAGCATATTGCTGTACCCGTTAGCAGAAAACTTTTGCTGAGTACCTGTGTCCTAATTATTTTCATGCTGGTCATGACCTAAAGGAAATTTATTAGCACATGTACTTTAAGTCAGGTATTTTTAACTTGATCATGATCGGCTCTGAGGTGCAACTTTTTTCTTCATATACTGTACATATCTGTGAGCCTCCTTGGAGTGCTGCAGTCTTTAATCATGTTGTTTAAAGCTGTTGTGATACAAGTTGTTCTCTACTTGTCCAAATAAAATTTATTAATAAGATTGAAAGCAATCTTGTGACCTTTTTAAGACATTAAAAGAATAACTTTGAAATTTAAGTGGCCTTTTTTTTTAATGTAGTTCTTTACACTTTGATGGCTATTGCAGGGGGAAGGGGCTTGCTTAATGAATGTGAAGAATTTTGAATTTTGAGATGGAATATACTGCAGCACAGATGTACTTTGGCACGGTAATTGAGGTTTTGCTAGATTCTCTTTCAAGCATCCCTGTTGTGCTTGGGAACCTGTCACTCCAGCGTGAAATGGCATCTTTACTGAAGTGAGTCTGAATATCCATGTCAGCCGAGATTTACAGAAACTGTGAGCTCAAACTGCCCTTAATCTGCCTTCAGTCCCGTGACTGTTTTTATTTCCTCTCATTTAAAATGACTGATAGAGTATCTCCTTCTGTGTCTTCCAGGGGCAACTTGCTTAAATCGCCTTTCCTCCGGCCTGCCGAACCTGAAGCGTGTGAAGTTTATTTTCCTGAGGAAGTAAAAATGGCTATGGCAGCTTATCTTTGATGTATTTCAGCAGAACATTTTCATTTATCAGTCAGATGCCTGATACCCTGGCAGTTCAGCCTCAGGCAGGTGTGTGTGGTTTTTTGTGTTTGTTTTTTGTGGGTTTTTTTTTTCTTTTTTCTTCTTCTTTCTTCTCTCCCCACTGTTTTCTTGGGAAAATAAATTCTTCTGGAGTTTCTTCTCTAGTAAAGAGAAAGTTGCTATTTACTCCCCAAAGGCCTGCTTTTCTACTCCTGAGCATGGCCGTGGAGGTGGTTAAGGTACAGTCATCTCTGTGGGCCTTGAAGCCTGGTGGGTTTGGGATTTTTGGGGTTGGTTTGATTTTTTTTATTTTTTTTTTTAATTAGATTTTTCCTTTGCTTGTCCCTTTGTCTTTTCAAAATCAGCTTAAAATTTGAAAAGGCAACTATATGCCCAGGTCAGAAGTTCCTGTAGTACAGGTAATTTTCTGATCAGGTTTTCTGTTCCTCATGTTCTCCGATAATTGTTCAGAAATCAGGCGCAGAGCCCTAGAGGACCAGGCAGTGTGATGGCACTGTGCCTGGGTGACAGCAGCTTGTCAGAAACCGGTGAGCTGTTCAGGCAGGAGGGTTTCTGAGCTCTCCCTGCTGCCGTACAGAGAACAGCTACAAGTAACTAGACCTTTCCCAGGCCAGCTGATTCCCGTTTCAGACATACACATTGAAGTCCAGTCGATTTCTGCATTTTGTTCAGGGTACATAAATCCCTTTGTTTTTTACCTCAGTGTAATGACAGTTGACTTGGGTCACGTGTGTGATTTCTGAGGTGAATGGGATCGGCTCTGGGTTCAGACCAGAGTGTGCTTCAGGTCATCTTCTAACTGTGAATGGAGGGCAGTATTTGCTGGAGGAGTATTGGGAATTAAAAGAAATCCTCGTGTTTGGGGTCCAGAATGAACATGTCCCATCCTAATTCCGTTACTGTTTTACTAGTCCAGTAAAATGAAGCATTATATCTCATCCCTTTAGGTATTTTCTAGTTATTTAAGGGTAAGACAGTCTTAAGTTGAAAAACGAGACAGATCTTCTGGATGCCTACCTTCTCTCTCTTCTGTATTTTTTCAATACTGATGCAGGCCTGTGAATTTGAGGGAAAGTTTGAGGCTTTCCCTAAGGAAGACCTTGTGTTTTCAGTTGCAGAGTGCTCGAATTCCCCTGATGTGCAACAAATAAAGATCATCTTCAGAGAAGAGGAGAAATAACTGTCTTTCTCCTTTTTCCTTCACCCAGCATGTCATGGATCTGTCTGCCTTTTTTCTGCTTCATTTGGTGATTTCCTAAGAAGTGGAAGGAAAGGAAAGACTTGCTTTATTCTCAGCGTTGCCCAAGAGCGTTTGATCTACAGCCTGAGGGATGTGGTCTCTGTTGCTTAACTCCGATAGGGAATTTTCTCATGCTGGCAGTGTTAGCCATGTCAGTAATTCAAGCTGCAGCTTGTCCCTAAGGATCTGGAGTTTGGGGAAATGTGCGTCTCGGTTCTGAGAGGTGACAAAAGGAGTTTTTTTTTCTGTGGGCAGTGTCTAGGAACGCTGCAAAAGACCCTGGTGAATTCCCTCGTGGGTGTCTCTCCTGAAGAAAGACTTGAGCTTTGTATTTCAATTAATTTCTCTTTTGGCCGGGATTTCTTGAGCAGAAAGTGAGGTGGCTCCCAAATTGTTATCTGTTGGTCCACAGTTTCACAAAAGCGGTGTCATAGCTCTACCCCTGCCTTCTTGGTAGAGTACCAAATCGGTCCTTCACAAGCAATTTCTGTTGTTTTCCTTTTAATCTCTTGGCTTATTCATCTTGGAACTTCTTCATGGGAAATCCCTTTTTTCCCATGTCCTGAGTGCTCTAAAGAGCACTGTCTGCCTTTCTCCTGCCTGCTGTTTTTCACAGCAGGTTCTCTGTCTTCGGTCGTTCCTCCCCAGAGACCCATCAGGATTTGGTAGGGCTGTTTCCTCACCACGCTTTCCTGCAGATTTCATGCCAATAAAACTGGCAAATGTCTGGAACCCTCCAGAGGGCAGTTTGTTTTTATCAAGACACAACTGATGCTGAGAAATGAGTTTTTGCTGTTTTGAATGTCCCAGATAGCTGTTGCACAGATTTCCTGGCCCTGTGGACAAGATCCCCAGATCATTAGGACTGCAGAACAGCAGGCTAATTTCAGCTCAGCTGAAACAATGAATGTTTGCATGGGCTTGGCAACCCTCCTGTGCAGGTGTAGGTCTGGCCATGATGGTTTTCAGGTTCAGTCAGTGGATCCCGCCCTCTCAGTTACTCGTTACATCCTCCTTGGTGCTTGCCCCATTTTCTCTGCACTGTCAGAGGTGGGGGTTCAGAGATGGCTGATGTGAATTGGGAACAGGTGGGCGGAGAAGGGAGGACAGCAAAGTCTTTCGTGTGGTGCAGGCACGCTCTTACGCTTTGATCAGGTTCCTCCCCTTTGGCAAGGTCTCCTTTTGTTCCCTTGTCCTTTGGTGCGGAAAGTTGTGTGCAGTGCGCGTGTTTTCTGACCTGATTTCAGGCTGGAGACCTCCTTGTCTTGGTAGGGTGGGAAGAGGAGTCCGAGACGAGCAGGTGGACGAAAGCTGGTTGTGTACTCCGCTTGTTCTCTCCTGTCAGTTCTCCCCTCTCTGATACAGGTGGGAAAGGCTTGGCTGTGCTGGCATTCAGGAAGGGAGGTCTAAAGTGATCAATCTTCTCTTTATATGTAGAGTTAGGACATACTGATAGACTGCCTTAAAAATAAAAGATTGTGACAAGAAAGTTCACTTAAAATGTGCGTGATCTTCCCCTCCCCTGCCCCAAGTGCTTTCAGGCTCTGCCTTTTTTTTACTTAACTTTTACTTTACTTTTTACTTAGATCAGAAAAATAAATAAAGAGCCCAAGGTAATGGGGTTGTTTTAGGGTTCAGTTGCTGTTGAGGCTGGACTACATCTGAGACGAGCAGGTGGACGAAAGCTGGTTGTGTACTCCGCTTGTTCTCTCCTGTCAGTTCTCCCCTCTCTGATACAGGTGGGAAAGGCTTGGCTGTGCTGGCATTCAGGAAGGGAGGTCTAAAGTGATCAATCTTCTCTTTATATGTAGAGTTAGGACATACTGATAGACTGCCTTAAAAATAAAAGATTGTGACAAGAAAGCTCACTTAAAATGTGCGTGATCTTCTCCCCTCCCCTGCCCCAAGTGCTTTCAGGCTCTGCCTTTTTTTTACTTAACTTTTACTTTACTTTTTACTTAGATCAGAAAAATAAATAAAGAGCCCAAGGTAATGGGGTTGTTTTAGGGTTCAGTTGCTGTTGAGGCTGGACTACATCTAGCTGATTAAAATACAGTGTGACTTAGCAGGGCCAAGTAAGCAGATGTTTAAACCTGTTACAGCTCTCCGGTCCTGGTCCCTTTGAAATACTGTGCCCCATTTGTGCAGAGGTGTAGTAATGTTCCTAGATGGGAAATGGTTTAGAAGGATTTTCCTGCAGGTGGTTTTGAATCGTGAGTGTGAAAAGTGAAGGTACTGAGCACACTTCTCTGCACATTTTTTAACAGGGCTACTGGGAGGAGGAGAGGTGCGCTGTTTGAACATCAAAAGAAATTTCAGGTTTTTTTAGTCAATCTGGGTTTCCTGTGTAAGAACGAAACCAGATGAACTTGGTTTGAGTAAGGTGACAAAGGCTTAAAGGGGGGCTGTCCATTTCTCGCACTGGTCATTTATTTCATGGTGGTTTCTTCTGGTCTCTTGACTGAGGGGTTGTGTGTTTTGTTTTTCTTTGTTTTCAGTCACTTTCTGGATTTTTGTGGCGGACAGCATTGTTTGCTATAAGCGGTACTGTCAGCAGAGATGTCCTACCCCATCTACCTCAAGGCCCTGCACCATGATAAAACAGGCCGTGGCTCTTAGTTTGGGGTTGAGGTTCCGTGTAGGGGAGAGTGTAGCAGCAGGAGCTCTGGGGACCCCCAGGCAGCCCTCCTGCTTGCCAGCACGTGGCGTTCCTTGGTGCAGAGGTCTCGGCTGCAATATTCCCGTCTGTCAAATCGAGATGCTTAGACCGCTGACTTCCCCGGTTGTCAGCTGAGCGAGGCTGTGCTGCCGGCTCCTTCCCCCTCCGAAGGGGAGCTGTCGGCTGTGGGCAAGGGGCAGCGCCGGGGTTCCTCTCCTGGACCGAGGAGTCCGGCAGAGAAGGGGGATTTGGGAAGGGGAGGGCCCACGCCGACAGCCCCAGTTGGCAGCGGGCTGGTTGCTCTCCAGCAGCCTTGGTGCGTTCCTGCTTTGGATGGAGCAGCCCTGAGAGGGGCAGCTGTTGGAGGGGCACCTAGGAGTATCTAGGGAGGAGTCAGCTAGCAAGTCAAACCACCTTGTAGGATGCAGCGACCTTTAGTCTTGGTCTTTTTCCTGATGTCTGCCCTCCTCTATTCCCCACAGGTCCCCCTTTCGGATACGGTAAGCAGAAGTTGTAGAAGGGCTGTCAGCTGCT